GCTGTTCCTGATAAAGCACTAGGGTAACTCATCTCGGTTTTGTATTTTATAATTTTACAAGACATAGTATATTTAACGTATGTGGTCCACTGAAAATGTAATTTCATCCTAGGTAACTAGGGAACATGTGTCTCTGTCTCTTTTTTTTTTTTTTTTAAACTGCACTTGATGTTGTTTTACCTATTGCAGTGAATTGCTGTTGTCCAGAGAGTCATGTGCTTTTGAAATGGTTATTTTGTAGGGCATGGTGCTACTGATAATCTTTCTGCAATTAACACAAAGGAAAGCTGACTTGCTTTGGAAGAACAGCAACGTGCTTTGGTTTTGATCTTAGTGGCTGTTTCTAGTCTTACTTTATTTTGGAGGAGACCACTGCGGTTGACATGGAGTATTTGTGGTGTTCCCTATCTGTAGACCGTGTTGGGTTGTGAGTTTCTCTCAAAACCTGACAGGAATGCACAGGATAGACACTTCAAACATTTATGGACTACTTTCTTGCTACTAGTTTTGTTTTCAGTTACTGATTTCACATTCTTTTCATTCTTCTAGCTCACATAGTGAATACCTATATCTACAGTTACTTTAGGTACAGCACTGAATAAGTGTATCTGGTTTGTACTGAAAATGACATTTTTAACCAGTGTTGTACCTTTTAAATTTGGTTTGGTTGCACCCTTACACCAGAAATCATCTGGAATGCTGAGATGGAAAACGTAATTATTTCAGTTACTGCATCCCCCACCTGGTTCAGCTGTTGCCTCATGCTCAGTAATTTCACACACATACTCAGTGTCTGAGGTGTGTGTGGTAGCTTTTGCGGTGAGAATTACTACAATATTAATGCTTTTTACAAACTTCTGTGAAATAGCTTCTTATGATAGTAGACTTGGAAAAGTACTTAGGGTTTTCTTGGGGGTTTTTCTTTTTTTTTTTTTTTCTTTATCCTTTAGAATATAGATGAACATTTTGCTTGTACATTTTCTGTTGGGTGTTTCTAGGGGAGCGAGGACTGTTTGTGTTGGAGAGCAGCTGCAATGCTCTGTGGTGCATTTGTGTTTCTAAATGCAGTTGGTGAACAGCCACTGATGGAACTGTGTCTCCTGTCTGAGTAGACTAGATTGCTGCTGCTTTTGTGTCTTACAGATTGAAACAGGTAACCCCCCCATGACTGATTTTCTCTCCTAAGTGAAGATTAGGATTAGGGAAAGACTCTGAAATTGTTAAAGTCTGGCTTCCTTAAGTTCTTTTCAGAGACTTCAGAAAGACTCTTGACTAACAGTGCAGCCATAAAATTAAGAGCAGAAGGAGAAGTAGTGATTTAGTATATTGTGAAAAATCTCTACTTGTAATTGAGAGGAAGAATTACACTTTCTAGAAAAAATGTGTTATTAAATCAGAAAACGTATTTGAAAAATAGCAAGTAATGTGGATTTTTCTTGCAAATGACTAAAAAACCCGTTTTTTAACATACCTTAAAAACAGAAAAATGTTAGTGAACATAGAATGTGTTCATGACCTGTTGGTAAATTTAATGAAGAGCTATACCTCTGCTCTGTAATGTGTCAGAGGTTGGTGCTTCAATGCATCAGCATGCCTTTTGTATGATGTTACTTTATACAAAAACTGTCACATTTTCCCATTTTAAATTGCAGTACACAGGTTTGCTGGGAGCTGCTTCTGTAAGTAGTTGAAATTTAAGAGTAGTGAGTAAAAAATTTCCTCTCATTTTCTGTCCTCTTTTTCAGATTGGGTCCACCTTGAACATAATATTTCAGGCTAATGGAGCAGCTTTGCTGGTATAAAGTTCATAGGCTTATTCTCTATTGTACACTACTTGGTGGGAAGCTTCATTTTGCCTATTGAGGTCCACTTACATTGGGTTTGGACTCAAGACCTTGGAAAAAGCAGAAAGGGCAGATTAAAGGGGTGGAGGGCAGCATCTTTGTTTTGTTCCAGGGTGGAGTTACAGTTGTGAGCAAGCTGTGGGTGAGAATAGCAGGAGTATAAAGCATTTCTTCTCCAGAAAGCTGTGTCATTTGAGATGAAGACATAAACCCATATGTAGCTGACTCCCATAAGAAGAGAACCTAGCCTGGGACTGTGATCGGCCACAGTCAGCCTCTGAAATGCATGGTACGTGGTTGGACTGGTGAGGCCGCACCTTGAATACTACGTTCAGTTTTGGGCACCTCACTACAAGAAGGACATTGAGTTGCTGGAGCGTGTCCAGAGAAGGGCAATGAAGCTGGTGAAGGGTCTGGAGAACAAGTCTTATGAGGACCGGCTGAGGGAACAGGGGTTCTTTAGTCTGGAGAAGAGAAAGCTGAGGGAAGACCTTATTGCTCTCTACAACTGCTTGAAAGGGAGTTGTGGTGAGGTGGGTGTTGGTCTCTTCTCCCACGTAACTAGCGATAGAGCAAGAGGAAAGGGCCTCAAGTTGCGCCAGGGGAGGTTTAGATTGGATATTAGGAAAAATTTCTTCACCAAAAGGTTGATCAAGCATTGGAACAGGCTGGTAGAGTCACCATCACTGGAAGTGTTCAAAAAATGTGTGGACATGGCACTTTGGCACATAGTTTAGTGGGCATGGTGGTGTTGGGTTGATGGTTGGACTTGATGATCTTAGGGGTCTTTTCCAACCTTAGCAATTCTATGATACAAAGACAGCTGTTGTTGAGTATCCACAAGGGCACAGCTACCCAGTGAGTCACAGAATCACTAGGTTGGAAAGGACCTTCAAGATCATCAAGTCCAACTATTAATCCAGCACCACCATGTTCCCTAAACCATGTCCTGAAGTGCCACATCCACACGTTTTTTGAACACTTCCAGAGATGGCGACTCCACTACTGCCCTGGGCAGCCTGTTCCAATGCCTGACCACCCTCTCGGTGAAGAAATTTTTCCTAATGTCCTTGTAGCGCTGCTGGCTTGGGCAGTACAGATGCCTTCCTTGTACCTTCTTGGCAGTTGTACTGGCCCAGTTGTTCAAGGGGATTTATTCTATGTTTGATTAGGAATCTGTGTTACTCTTTTTGCTGGGTTATTTTTAAGCAGGATCAATTGCCTGAGCTGATTCACTGGCCTGCCCCGGTTTAATGATATGATGAGGCTGGTTAAGGTGGTGGTTCGCAAGTTGTTGCTGTTGATCGTGGTTTTGCTGACAAAGATTTTTGTTTAACCACAGCCAAAGTGGTGTCTGATGTAAGAAGAGAAATTAAGAGATTGCACCATTTTACTCTTCAACACTTCAATGCGATGGGGAGGGAGATAAGGAGATGCGGGGTGATCTGTAAACACAAGATGGGAAGGCAACTTGGTGGTGTGTGCATCCTTTTTGAATTCGCGTGATAAAAGTGAATCATGGATCTCACCTAATATGAGCTTGAAGAGAAAGTGTGAAATTCAAAGGAAGATTGGACTAGATTTCTAGAAAACGTGTAAACAAAAATGTAATGTCAGTCTGTGGGTGGCAATGTGAGTAAGAGCAGATCCACGTTCCTCTCGGAGAGAAACTGTTCTCCATCACCCCTTCCCTCTCCCCTTCCACTGGTTTGGTTTCTGTGAGGATGTCATACCATATCCCATCTTGACTTGTGTTGTATAGTGTTAAAATTTTTATGTGAGAGTTTTCTCTTGTGTCGTTAGAACGATGGCTTCCTTATTACCTTCTTTCTGTCAGATGATTTTGAGTGGCAGTAGCTGATTTATTCTCACTTATCTTTTAATTGAATTTGTAACAGGCTTCTGCTAAAATATCTTCACCTATATGGTATGTTTTAACTGCATTTCTTCTAGAGGAATACAGAACCCACTGGGTAAAATATGCTTATTTTAAAAGCTGGAGAGGACTACTGAGACCATAATCAAGACTTCTGTGAGATTTTGTTCACTGTTTTCTGAATGTAATACAAAATAGGTGCTTGAAAAAAGGATGTATTTTTCAGTCACTATCCAAAGTCGATCCATGAAAAAATCTTCTTTTCCCTTTAATAACTCATTACATCTCTTACGTTGCTTTCCCTGTTTACATAGCTGCCTTGGAGTTACAATATGAAGGTTTTTCTTTAGTTTTACTCTGTGTTACCAGCTGCTTTTTTACTGGGGATAACTAATGATCCTGTAATTCAGTATGTTGATATTGTTCAAAGTGAAGACAAATACTTCAGTTTGATGTGGTCTGAGTACATGGGCTTGTTTGTTTGTTTGTTTGTTTTTTTTTACTTAAGGTATACAGACAAAACCAATTTGGGTTTACATTTAACATGTGTTTCAAATTTAGTGGAGTTCCTTTTTTAATCTAGATTTTACTTAAGGCTTAGCACACAGTCCCCCTTCCCTGCACCCTAGGACAGAACGTATTCTGCTGTAGGAAACTACTTATTTGCAGTCACCATATCTGATTTTTATTTTTCCCTGGGACGCTGGAGGATTAGAGCAGATTATAGCGTTGGGATAATGTCTGACTCCTTGTGTTCCATTTACTAATAAATAAACCCCTGAAAAATCTGAATGTTGCTATGGTGATATTAGTAAAAGCCTGGGATATGGAGTGAGCCGCTTAGAAGCATAATGTCACTTACAGTAATGAGCATGCCATCATTAGAATAGTGATGGGTTTGCCTGATGCTCTGTAACTTTGATAGGTCATGCCAGATTAAGCATGTAAGCGAGTAAGTAAGTGCAATTCGTATGAATATGCTCTGTTCAATAACTTGCAACTACTGACCTTTTAACAAATGGAAATTTGTGTTTTATCTGTTTACGTTCTAGCTTTAATGTGTTAAAATATCACTGAGAAACAAGCAATAACTTCCAGTCTTTTTATACTGCCTTTCACATGATGGTCTTGTTGAATTAAAACAACAAAAAAAAATCAGTTCACAGCAATTTTGATTTAAAATGTGTAAACACACACCTTTCTTCTGAAAGTGTGGAATATAAAAAGTAAGATTGCATTAAAATGTGGTTTGTTTTTTGCTTTGTTTTTTTTTTTTTTAGTCTTTATAACCTGGCTTCGCTGGAACTTAGAGAAAATTTGCTGACATATTTACCTGAGTAAGTGACATTTCATGTGTTTGATTACATTAACAGAAAATGTTCTTATTCTTAGAATCTGCTAACATTCTGAAACCGAATGACAGCTAGGAAAAATACTGAGCTCTGATTGACAACACGTATGAGATACAGCTTTGTTTCAGCAACGCCTAGTTATATCCATTACTTCTAGTTGTACTTGCTTAGTAGCAGGAGCCTGCAGTCTGTGCAATTGGTTTTGCTCTGTAAAAATATTCTGTATAAAATGCAGCAGCACCAAACATTTCTTCCTGCATTGACCGAGCACATCAGCAGTGGGAGTGGTGGTTTGGGTTGTTCTCATGCTGAAATTTCATAACTATGAAAGTAGGGTAATAGGCTCTCAGAGGTTTCCACTCTAGACCTTCATAGCATTTAAATAAGTGTTCATGTTCAAGGCTACGTAGCCAAAAGCTTCCAAAACCTGCAGATCAAAGCCTTGGGGACAAACTAGGCCTAATGATGTCTGAAGTCTGACTCCACCCACCATGATTTTTGGGGAAAAAAAAAAAAGATACCTATAGATGTATCTGTGCTGTCTGTACTGTGGCAGAGGAATTGGTGGTCTTTTGTATGATTAATCTGGTATTTTGGGGATCCTATTTGCCTGGAAGAAGCCTTTTCTTTTTCTGGTGAAGGAGTTTCCTTCCTTCACTACCTGGCTGCTTCTTGCAAGAGTTTTGGTGACTCCTATTCTGCTTGTTTAGATAATTTAATAGATACTGTAATAGATTTAACCTGTTTTAATCAGAATCTCTTCCCTAGTTGCTTTGGGGCCCTTTTTTCTTGTCAGTCTACCCAGTACCTTGGTTGTGGCTGTTGATAGCCATGAGCCATGAGGCACTTCAAGTGTCTGTGGTCAGAAGATATGAATTGCTAGCTAGGTTTTGCCATGAGGTGTCAGAACGAAACCTCACAAATGTTGACAATTTTATTGCTCCTGGAAAATTCTGACTGTCAATAACGTAGCTGACAACTCTCACTGGCTTTCGTGCTACTGCAGCTTTGGGGAAGGTAAGCAAAAGCTCTACAACAGGCTGTTTTTGAAGTAGAAGGATGGCCCTCTGTGTCTGTTAGTGTTCAGAGAACTTCTTTTACATCCTTTTGGGCTTTCCCCTGTTTGCATTTTCATATCCAACCTGAAATACTTTAGAAATGGATAGATCATGTTGAGAAGATACATGATGGATTTATTGAGTCTTGAGTCACACTGTTACATGTGATCACTATAAGGAATTTTTATCCAGTTGCATAACTGTAAATTCCCCTGAAAAATAAATCTAACCAACTATACTAAACTATGTGGCCCTCATTTTGAAGGGCATACTGACAAGCCAAATTATTTTTTCAGTAAGATACTACTGCAAATAGTCTATGCCTAGTAAAATAACTGTCTGTCTATAATATGTTGTAATTTGAAATACGGGTTTCAGTAAAATGAGCTCATTCAAATACATGGAGTTTCTGTTGCTTTAGTCTGATGTGGTTTTGTTTTGACTTATCTCATCTCACAGATCACTTGCCCAGCTGCAGCGACTAGAAGAACTTGATTTAGGAAACAATGAACTTTATCACTTGGTAAGAGAACGTGCCACTGAAGGTGCATGTTGGTCTTGTTTTACGCATCATTTAGATTAAATAGATCGTAGGATATCCAAAATTGAAGAAAGAAAAATGTATAGAGGGAAAGTTTTTTTTATACGTGCAGATGAATTTTGGCAGTGAGTTGGTGCTTCCCGTATCTGCTTAGATACGGGAAGATATTGCTTCCCGTTCAGCATAATATTACTTTATCCAAAAAACTGCAGCTGATCTCTAGAAAATGAGAGCACTGCACAGATTTTTTTTCTACAGAAAGAAAAACAAGTGGAAGGGCATAAACTCTTGTCTGCACTTGCAATTATGATGAACACATGGGCTTCTGTAGGGAACTCGACAGGCTGAGTGCAGATGAAAGCTCAGCTATTTCCGGGGTGGGAGTAGGAATCTTTGGGAAAGGGCTGAGGCAAACTGTTGAGGGTTGCAGTGTCTGGCATTGTGGCAAATACACCTACCAAAAGATATCTGTCATCTCCCTTAAGCTGACTCAATTAAATGTTGGATTTGCAGTAGATTAAGAGTGTGCATGCAATTTGTTAGTGCATGTCAGGTAAAGTATGGTAGCTTGGTAGCTTGTTAAGCTATAACAATTAATTTGTATGATGGAGTTCCCAAATGCTTACAGTCACCCTTGCTGCATTTAACCATGGTACCTCTAAATAGTGCTTGGAGTAAGGTTTGGTTTACTCAGACTGTAATTACGGGGTGGCCGTTTGGTTTTGACTTAAAGCTGCTATGCTACTTAACATTATTACTTTTTATGCTATAGCCAGAAACAATTGGTGCACTTTTCAATCTTAAAGACCTCTGGTTGGATGGAAACCAATTAGCCGAAATACCTCAGGTAAAGATGAGTTGTACTGATACTGTTTTGAAGATGCTTTTAAAAGAAAACCTTTTTGTTCATACCTAAAGGGAGGTGATTTAAAATAGAATAATCTTCTCAGTTCACTTTGCCTGGGTTTGGTTTTGGATGCGTGAGGGTTTTCTCTCAACAAGTTCCTCTGCAGTGGATTGTACATGATATCATATGTTGTCAGACATTTTCTTTTAAACATCTTGATAAAGGAATCATTCCCTAATTGGCACATTGTTCAATTTATAGGATGACACATCCTCTGTTTACAGTCCTGGCCCAATGATCAGGGAACCACTAGTTGGCTGAGTTAACCCTGAGCTCTTGTATCTATCTAAATTGCAGTTTTGACAGTTTGAGGATGAAGCTTCTTTTGCAGTCATTATTTTCCATTCACATACAGTGTTTGGGAGAAGTACAATAATAGAACTGTTGCCATAAATAGAAATTTTGATTTATGCAGGCAAATCCCCCATCTGACATCAGTCATGGGATGAGGAGCCTTAGCATTTAAAGCTTACAGCACTCTAAATTCCCTTTCCTAAGAACTGTGATAACACGTGGGATGGTTTCTTTTCCCTCTTTTCCTTTAAAGCCAAGTCAAAACCTGTTTTCTCCTGTTCCTCATGCAGTTTGCTGTTATTTGCTGTATTACTCTCATTGTCAACAGTGTAACTTGGAAATCAGTTACAGTTTAGTGGGCTTTGTTGATTTTGTTGTTGTTGGCTTAGCCTAATAATTTTTAAGTAGATGTAGGTAAACACTGATAATCATTCATAAAAGGTCAAGTGTGACTTCAGCAGCTGTTTTTATTGAAGCTGGCCATTATTGTGTATTTTGTCTAATGTGCAAAAGATGAAATTGTAGGATAAAGGGTGTGTGTGTGTGTTGTAATGAAACATCCTCTTGAGAGGCAAACATTTCTAAAATAAAAGGACTGATCTTGTGAGTTAGGATCAAGGCTGTCACTGTATGAAAATTTCATATATGTAAAAGTAAAAAAAAAAAAAAAAAAGACACGTCTGCCCCAGCTATTCTGTTCTCTGAAAGATGATTTGGATGACTAAAATGAGAACTATTATAGAGCATATATAGAGGTGTCTCTGTACACAGGGAATGGCAGGGTGCTCTGATGGCTAATGAGGACAAAGGTATTTCTCTGTCAGACTTTTAAGATAACTGGTGGATTACCATTGTAAAAAATTAAGTAATCATTAATAATTATAGATGATGGCAGTATAACTTGGCAGTTCAAATATGCTTGCTAGAGCAACACTCCCAATTCCTATTTCTACATTTGTTGCAGTTGGGAGATGTGAAGATATGAAATCCCTAGATGTCATGGCATGTTGCTGTATCAGACAGGAGAGACTAATCCTAATTTGCCTAGGGTTAATTGGGAGGGGCAGACTTTTAATTACGTGGCGGTTGATAATCTGTAGTTCTGAAAAAAAAACTTTGCAGCCTTTACTTGAGGAAAACTCCAGTTTTGGCTGGTGCTTGCCTGGGTGTGCACAGCATACCTTGTCTGACTACTGAAGCCAGTCTTAATAGTTAGAATAAGAAACTGTGACTGAGTCACTTGGTTGGTTAATCATATGTAAAATGCAATTGTTTACTTTTTTTCTGCATTTAGAGGTCATACAAAGAATGGCCAATTTAGAGGTCATACAGAGAATTACTTTTCTTTCTGGAATTTCATTGTGATGGTACATTTTTCAAATTGCTTTGTTACACGTTTGGGCATGACTTAAATTTTTTGTATTGTATCGCAGGAAGTAGGAAACCTGAAAAACCTGCTTTGTCTGGATGTTTCTGAAAATAAATTAGAATGCCTTCCTGAAGAAATTAGTGGTCTGACTTCTTTAACAGACTTGCTTGTTTCTCAGAATTTACTTCAGGTCTTACCTGATGGCATTGGTAAGTACAAGGTGAATGCTAACACGCAGAACCATTTAATCCACTGTAAATTGGAAGTAGTTTGTTTTCAAGTCTTTTGAAGTCTTTTTGTGCAAGAGATGGATGAGCTTGTCAGCTTTTTTTTTTTTTGCTTAGTATGAAATGCTTTATTAATTTAGCATTTTAATTGTCTGCATAATGACTACCTCTTAATCCTTTTTTTGGTCTTTACTTGATACCTACCTGAACAAGATAAAAGTTAATTTATTATCTGTTCCTACTGTATCCACATCACCGTCATAACTCTTTAATATTGTAAAATTCTAGCTTGTAACATGTTGTAGGTCACTTGACAAGACTGACTGACTTTATCACTACAAAAAATACATCCTTTTTAGTGAGGATGCGCAAGTATCTTCAATTGGACAATGTGATTAATCCTGTACTGAACCCAGTGAAAGGCTGTTCCAGCTTCAGCCCATTACTCCTCACTCTGGAGGATCCAAACTACAACCTTTCTGTGTCTGACCCCTTAAAACAGGCTTAATAACTGAGTGTTTTCTGAAGCATTACCAGTGCCTTTTTAAAATACATGTTTTTACCCCTGCAGTAGTTGTGACAAGTGGTCAGCGAGGCATTGTTTCTCTACTACTCATCACCTGGTTTTTTGGAGTTTCACGGTGCAAGAGTATGCCGCCTTCTTGCAAAAAATCTCCAGGTTCCTCCCCCCGCCCCCCCCCCAAAAAAAATAAAGGTGTAGGGGAAGGAGGGCTTCTGAACGTGGTTTAACTGGGAACGTGGAAAACAATGGACAGACTTGCCCTTTTCCATATGCTACATGAGTCTAAGTAAAGAGAAATGTTTTTCTAGTAGTTAAACTTTGGGGAGTGGGGTGAATACAGTGGGTCCTACAGTTGGCTAGCGTGTGTTTGGTAGAGACTTGTAGCAGCCCTCTCTGATGACCTGAGCTGGCTAGTACAGTTGTTGTACATCAGAAGTGGAGCTGTACCTTCTGAAACGCTATGACCCATGCAGTCTGCCAGAGGGGAGTTTGTCTATTACACCAGCTGGTGAACAAGAGGAGCTGCTGCTTGTTGAGAATCCTGTTAAATGGATATCCTTTGCTGAGGAAGGCAATTGCAAAGGGCCAGGCCATTTCACCCTCAGCAAGCTTGCAGATAACACCAAGCTGAGCGGTGTGGTTGACATGCCTGAAGGATGGGATGCCATCCAGAGGTACCTGGACAAGCTTGAGGAATGGGCCCATGTGAAACTCATGAGGTTCAACAAGGCCAAGTGCAGGGTCCTGCACCTAGATTGGGGCAACCCCTGGTATCAACCCAGGCTGGGAGATGAAGGGATCAAGAGCAGCCCTGTCGACAAGGACCTGGGGCTACTGGTGGATGAAAAGCTGGACATGAGCCGGCAATGTGTGCTTGCAGCCCAGAAGGCCAACCGTCTCCTGGGCTGCATCCAAAGTAGTGTGGCCAGCAGGTCAAGGGAGATGATTCTGTCCCTCTACTGCGCCCTGGTGAGACCCCACCCGGAGTCCTGCATCCAGCTGTGGAGCCCTCAGCACAGGAAAGACATGGACCTGTTGGAGAGGGTCCAGAGGAGGGCCACAAAAATGACCAGAGGGCTGGAACACCCCTGCTGTGAGGACAGGCTGAGAGAGTTGGGGTTGTTCAGCCTGGAGAAGAGAAGGCTCCGGGGAGACCTTATTGCAGCCTTCCAGTACTTAAAGGGGGCTTATAAGAAAGATGGGGACAAACTGTTCAGTAGGGCTTGTTGCAACAGGACAAGGGGTAATGGTTTTAAAGTAAAAGAGGGCAGATTTAGACTACATAGAAGGAAGAAATTTTTTACAATGAGGACTGTGAAACACTGGCCCAGGTTTCCCAAAGAGGTGGTATATGCCCCATCCCTGGAAACATTCCAGGTCAGGCTGGACGGGGCTCTGAGCAACCTGGTCTAGTTGAAGATGTCCCTGCTCATTGCAGGAGGGTTGGACTAGATGGCTTTTAAAGGTCTCTTCCAACCCAAACTATTCTATGATTCCGTTCTATGGTTTCAGTGCAGGCTTAGTTTGCATGTGCATTTTGTAACAGTTTCTGGATATAATTTTTTTACAATGGCAAAAAAAAAATTGCTACTTATGTGTGTATAATAGCTTAGTTGTGCTTGGATAATTGGGTAGGGCTACAGTATTTACTCCTTTTGTGTAATATTGGAACTTATTATGTGAAATGGAGAAAATCTGATATTGTGGTTGAAGTGAACCTCACTGGTCTCTCTAGAAGCTACTGGGAGGAGCTCGGCTGATCACCAAATTGTTGGTGGTATTGGTGGATCTGCAGAGCCCTCAAAGCAGGGCTCTCACCAACACCAGCAGATTAGGTCAGCTGTGGCCATGTCTCACTAAGCCTTTAAAGCTGCTGACAAAGGTGGCTTCAGAACCCCCTGGGCAGCCTGTGTCAGTGCTGCACCATCTCCCCATGAGGAAGCTTCTCCAGATGGGACCTCCCATGTTTCAATTTGTGGCCATTAGTGGCTCATCTTCCACTGCGGAGCAGAGTTTGGCTCTATCGTCTCTGAAACTGCCCTTCAAGTAGTTGTGGGCTGTTCCTAGATGCCTCCTTGGCTGCTTCTCTGCTGGAGTCAACAAAGCCAGCACTCTTGGCCTCAGCTCACATGTGCCGTGGTCGTCTTGATAGCTTTCTACTGGGCCCCCATCAGCATCTCACTTGGACTGAGGAGTCGGGTGTGAAGACAGGACAGGACATGAAACTGTGCATAATTTTAGAGGTGTGGCCTCACTGGTGCCAAGTACATGGGATAGAGTAACTTCATTGATCTTCTGGCTGTAATTCTCCTAATGTGATCCAGACAGTGTTTACTTATTTTTGGTGAGAGCTCACTGCTTGCTCATATTCAGCCTGGTGCCCACTATAGCCCCCAGGTCCTTTCCAGTAGGGCTCTTGTACAGCCCATCACTTCCCAGCCTATACTGGTGCATGGATTTATTCTGCCCAGGTGTGGAGCTCTGCACTTCTCCTTGCTGAACCTCGAGTTTCTGTGTAGGTTGCTATCTTTCTGTGTATTAGCTGTCTCTTCATGTTTTAGCATTGTCAGTGAATTTGATGTGCCAGCCTATTACAGCTCTTTTGGACCATGTGGGCATGGGCAGGGAGGTGTCAGCAGCTAGTGATGTCTCCTGAATTTTCTGTCTTGCGCTCTGCCTGGGTCAGCTCTGCTTTGCACCAAAGGCTGTTCTGGCACGAAGGAGCAGAACAAGGTGAGCTTTCTGCTCTGAAACAGTATTTTGTCCTTCCTGAGGAGAAGACCTTCAAAGAAGTTTGGTTGCTATTCTAAAAAATAAACTTGGGTTTCATGTCTGACTGACTGGGTTCTATATTAGGACAAAGAGACCTTGATCCTGTTTGGGTTTGGGCTGTCACTTCAGTGCAAGCCTTTCCTTCTGTGGCTGAGTAGGCGTAGGTGATCTTCTGAATACTTCTTTATTAATAAACATTGTATAGTTGAGGAAAAAATAGATAATTTTCTCCTGTGTATAGGCCTTTGGGTAGACATGTCCTTGACATTTACATAGGGTACCATTCAGATTGCAACTTTAATACAATGTAATATGCTTAAATACTGGATATGGATATTTATATTGCACATGAATTCAGTGATGTTATAAAGTTGCAAAAATAGTGCAAATGAAGCAGGGCTTGAATGTTTTTCTTTTACCTGAAAAAAACTATTCATTGTGTTAGAGGATTTCTAAAAGTTTAGCAGCACTAAAATTTTCTGTAATTAAAGCAGGTATTGGAAGATTCTAAGCTAAACAAACACGTTGTTCTTTTCTGTCCCAGGAAAATTGAGGAGGCTCTCTATTTTGAAGGTTGATCAGAACAAACTTATTCAACTAACAGATTCAATTGGAGACTGCGAAAGCCTTACTGAACTAGTTCTAACAGAAAACCAACTGCAGGTAAGCATGGTCATGGTTGCTCAAATGGCTGGCAGTAATAAGACTTGCTGCTATGTGCTGAATCACTTACTTTGTAAGGTTACTCACCCTTGCTACTGCTAAGTAGCAAGTTTCCTTTAAATGCATCTTATTTCTTACTTGTTAAATGAATGCTGAAGATCAAGTTGTGTGTAGTAACAGCCCGCCCTTCCAAAGACTTAAAGAATTACATATTCACTCTTGAATCTTTCATGACCAGTAAGGGAATTGGAGCACATGGAGTGCAGCTATCACTTTGTTGTGTTTTTAACGTGGAGTTTCTGCCATGTTGTGTTATTGCCAATGTTTGCTGTGCATTATCTGGATCAGACTTGCTGGAACTGAATAGGAGCCCCGAGCACTGCAGAGTTGCTGTTCCTTGCTCTGCTGATCTACTCCAGCCAAGTATTACATATGATATATGGTCAATTAAAATAAAATCTCAGACTTTCTTCCAATAAGTGTTTCCTTCCACTATTCTGAAACTGCCTTCACGTGACACTGACGCTTGGAGAGTAGAAGTGTTTATAAAAATCTAGGTTTGAGCATTTCTTAAGTTAGGCTGGTGCTTGTCTGAGTTAGGAGCTTAAGCCTGTTGGAAGGATGCCTCTCTAGAGGTCAGTTCATAGCACCTAAGTTAGAAGCTTGCCTCTCAATTAGCTGTTCAGGGAGCCTAACGTTAGATAATACGGACATTCTGCATACAGCTTCTGCACACAACTGTCTTGTGTCTATCTTCTTGGTGCAGAGAGAATTCATGAGTGAATTTGTATTAGAAACTGACATTCCTGGACATTTCTTCTGGAAGAAAAAACCTTAGCTCTCCTTTGGAAGGCCTGGTAGTAATGAGGGTTAACTGCATTCCAATTTTGCAAATTAATCAGTCTACTGAGTCTATTAAATAAAATTAATTCTATTAAATAAATAATCTATTAAATCTATAAATAAGTCTGTTAAGTCTATTAAAATTAATTTAAAGTGAGATAAGGTTTGTTCTGACTCTGAATTTACAAATCCTCTTTGCACATTACTTTGTTTTTGTTGGCACAGTCATTGCCGAAGAGCATTGGAAAACTAAAGAAGCTGAACAATTTGAATGCTGATAGAAACAAATTAACATCTTTGCCCAAAGAGGTAAGTTTTGTGTGGTTAACTCTCAGAGATGTGATTGTACACACAGAAAACTCTTGATTTCAAATGCCTACAAGAAGTAGCAGGCAGCTTTGATCCACTGGGTATTCTTCCCAAACGCATCACAACCAGAAACTTGTTCATCATATCTGAACAGCAGCTGTGGTGATTTGGTGGCTTGGAAGTGCAAAATGTCTTTGTAGTTGAACAAGAAGGCTCAGGTCTAATTAGCTTCTAAGTAATAATTCTTAGTGTGGGTGTCAGGTCCAGCACTATTTGAAGACTGGGAGTTCTGTTAGAGTGAATGCATGTAAGCATCAACATGCCTCTTCTTCTTGTAGAGTAAAAATAGTACGGGAGTCTTCCTTGCCTCACTCTTGTGAGCAATAGCAAGGGGAAGGTTTCATATTCTGAAAAATGATTCAGAGACTGTTTTGACAGTCTTTTTGGTTTTGGAGATCTCAGGACTACTTTTGCCTTTAAATATGAGTACCTGATGTGACCAAGATCACTGGTACCTCAAATCTTACAGCTATGATCACTAGGACTTCTTGTCTGTCCTAACAGTATATGGAATGAAATGAGGCTAGAATTTCTGTTGTGAAACTAAATACAATGAAGGCCTTACAAGTTCGGTTCAGCAGTAAATTCTAGAAAGAGGTCAGGGGAAGCAGCATCCTGTGGTTGGAGCATGGGACTGTGAGTTGGTTCTGTTTGCACTGCTGTTTCTCTGTGATTTTTGTCCAGGTAGTTCTTCCCCTTAATTTTCCTATCTGTGTGACTCCGAGGTCGTAGCTTTTGTTCACCACTTTCAGTCACTTCAGGAGCAGGTGGCAGTTGATGGATGGGGACTGAGAAGTGTACCAGCTCTGACTAGTGAGCACACACTTTTGCTCAGGCCCGCTTACTTACGGAACTTGGACAGCCTGAGGAGGAGGAAGCAAAGTGGTTGGGAACCAGGAGATGGGGGAACGCCGATGGTCTGGAGAGGAGGGATCAAGCAGGGGCAGAGGATGCTGCTGTGGCACTAGCAGCAACTATTTCCAGTGGCCCAGGTCTGAGCTGCCACAGGTTGGTCACCGGATCGGGGCTCCATGATAGCCCTTATTGCTCCTTTACAGATTGGCTTGTAAGCTTATGTTTGACGGGGCGGGAGGGTGGGGAAGGTGAGGGAGGGAAGAGAAAATGTGAGTCCTGCAGCTCCTCTAGCAGGACAGCGTCTCCTCTGCAGAGGTGCTGCTGATTCTGAACATAAAATTGCAGAGGGTGTACCCAGACGGGTTGCATAAATACTAGCAAGAGGCAGGACCTTAGGAAAACTGTTCCTGAGTTGGGAATGGCAATTTTGATCTTGCGCTCATTCAGCAGAAAACTTTCCACATCTTTACAAAGAACTTAATACATTACACAGGCGTCCTAAACTATCTGCAGTTGAGACTTGTACAGTTTTGTGTTTAGTCCACCTTTAAGCACAGTCACTCTGAGTTTGTTATAGCGGGTAAGGTTTTTCTGGTACACCTTATTTGCAGATTGGTCATGAATAGCTTATGTAGTGTTTAAGCATTTTTCTTAGCTAATGAAGTTCATGGTATTGGAGACAGTGCATGAGAGTGAGCAGCATGGCTTGGAAGGAGCAGGGGCAGGAGCAGGTGAGAGGGGAAGGAGGATCAGCTTCAGAAGCAGGTAAAGCAGGGTGAATATGGAGTGTGTCTGTTTGGGGGGAATAACAGGGTCAGGGGCTTCGTGCAGAACAGTAAAGGGGTTGATGCTGAACAAGAAACTAGAGACTTGGAACCAGAAACGCGTTTCAGAGGTTCAAAGTGTTGCCCAGTTGGTGAAGGAGTTGGGGATATCAAAGGGTGAAGAACAAGAATGTGTGTGGAGACCATTAGTGCACGTGAGAGGGGAGGGGACACCTGCACAAGGGGTGGGGTAAAGTCCGGGATGAGTCTGTGTTTGGAGAAGGCGGGTGATGAGGAAATTGAAGGTGTTATCTGGAATGAGGTGAGCTGGGAAGTTGTAGATTGTCCAGTAAATAAAGATGGGAGAGGGTGGTTCCCAGGGAGCTTGGCAGAGAAACAGAGGAACAGAACTCCTTGGCATGCACTTCTTTGAAACAGAATATTTTTTTTTCCTGTAAAGGTCTCCACACCTATGTATCTTTCTCATTAGAGCAAACACTTTGAAGTTATGTTTAGCGTAAGATTTCCAGAATGTTTCTTTAAAGTATGTTTTGCTCTGTGGATTTAAAAAAAATTTTTTACATTGAAAGGAAATCAGGCCTTCTCCAGCTGGAGGGTCATATCCACCCTCTAGATTGGGGTATTTGAATTCCAAGGTGGTAACAGTAACAAATAGAAAACATATACAACTGATGCAATGGTTTGTCTCACAAATACTGTTAATATGCATGTATTGCAGAACCTACCGTCTAACTAAAGAGACTTTTCAATTTCAGTTTTTCAGGTCTCAGTTTCAATTCCTTGTCCTTAGGCTGTGCAAGAAAACAATTTTCCGTCAAAGTCTTTAGGTTGCCTTCTAACAGTGCTGAAATGCTAGTGTCGAAAACAGAAAGAAATCTACTTCTCTCTGCTCATGTTCCATCTGTTCCTGGAGCTGCATTTTCTTTCTGTAGAATTTTTCTTAACCAGTAGCTTTTTTGCTTTAAGCCAAACATGAATAGTTCTGTGGTACAAGTTTTCTGGTTAAAATTCAGAGGAATTCATTGAAGAGTCATATTTCATAGCTCTAAGAGAAAAAAGTTCTTTGTAAAAAGAGTGCACAAGTATAACGAGTACTGTTTGCTGTAACACAAAGCATCCACAGGAGCAGCTGCAGGGGTGCTGATATGGCAAAGATCTGAATTCTGAGTTTCCCTTTGGATGGCAGGGAGGAACACTTTGGTGTCTTGGTGAAATGTTCTGTTTCTATTTTCCTTCTCATCATAACTGACTTGGAACAAAAACACCAAAATGCCTTGGTAGAGCGCTTAAGGAAAGCTGAAAAATGTGTCACCCTTTTCCTGTCCTTTGGAAGGTTCTGCTTAACAGTGAGAAACCTTATCATCTTTTCCATTTATTTTCATCCCAAACTGACTAATTAATATTTCAAGCCAGGCATGAGCTTTTGAGAGCAATCATTTTCAACAATGTTGCCTGCTATGAGTTGCTTAAGATATGTCCTGAGATAGTATAGCAAAGATTGGGGTCTCAGACCTTTGCACATCGATCAGTACTAGTACTTGTACACTGGTTCCTCCTCCACAGAAGCTGTGCCAGATGCGGAAGTAGAGTATGCACTGCAGATACTCGTGTTCGGTATCTTCTCCTCTTTTCCTTCCTGCTTTCTCTTGTTCTTTCTGTGCCTTACAGGGTGCTAGAGCAGCTGTGCATTTGTGGTCTTCATCCTTACAAGAAATGAGTGTGGGACAGGCCTTTACTGGTTTCTGTTGGAGAGGACAAAGACATAAAGTCTGGTGGCATGCATATAGAAAGAATGGAACTCTGCTAGGGAGAAGAGTCCCTGTAACCAACACCATATCTACCTGCTGGTGTCTCTGTCCTTCCCTCCAGAATTATTCCTGTAGCAAAGACAGCTGTTGTAGATAGGATGGCAAAAGTGATGTGCCTGCTCTAATATAACCTGGTGAGATAATCTAAGAGTTTTAGCTTTTTTTTGTGGTGGTGTGGGGTTTTTTGGTGGTTTGGAGGGGAGTTTTGTTTTGTTAGCAGTTTTCTAGGATTAGATTTTGGGTCAACTTGTCAAACCATTACATTGCCAGATTGTTTCAATGCATGCTTGTAAAATGAGTCCCTACCTTTTAGTGCAAGATTTCTTGACTTGGGATTATTGAGGAGTTTGTATGCAAACACTGCTTCAAAGTTTCCTGGTTCAAAGGTTTTTCTGTATCGAGTGCCAATATATAAGGTAAAACGTGGAACAGCTGAATGTATGACCAAGACTTGAGTCACTGACAGATTTCATCTTCAGTATCTCATCTTGCAGCTCGATCCCTTTCTCACTGAACTGAGTGGTGAAACAGACTTCAGCAAGAACCGAGAATGTCTAAACCTGTTCATAGTTACAAATGTTTTTCCCCTTAAACTTGAAAGACCTGCCTGGTGACTCTTTGGTATTGAAATCCCACCCTGGAACTGGAACGCTGGTGAAACTGGTGTGTTGATTTTGGCACTTGCATAAATAACCTCCTTGGAATGTTTTCCAGTTCATGCGCTTTTGTTAATGAGTCTCTACAACCTGCAGAGATCTGGTAATGTGTCCTTCCTGGCTCTGAGGTATATTGTGAAAATTATTACTACAGTAGGTAAAACTGCAGGGTTGGTTTTTTTTGGCAGTAACTGTGCTTTTTACGTTTTTCTTTTTTTTTTTTTTTTCCCCAAACAAACTGTGGCCTCCTTGTTGTTTCTGGTTTTTAACTTCCGATGTCCCGTCCCTTCCCTCGTTTGTGTAAAAGTGTGTGTTTGTGTGTCTCAAAGGGAAGAGGCATTAAGGAAAAATGCAGGAAAACTTGTCTTGACTCAGAGGGCAGAGGAGGTCTCTTGCTGTGCTCCTCCTGTACTATTCACCAGTGGTGCAGAGGGTGTTGAAGTGAGTTTGCTGAAGATATTCCTAGCCAATTTAAAGTTAATAGTAGCTGAATAATAGCTAATAATAGTGAATTGGGCAGTTTCTTCCACCTCAAATGTAGTCTACGCTTGCAATTAATGAATTAATCTGTTTATCTGGGGCCAAGGAAAATTCTGACTTCGAATCCAAACAAAATTTTGGTTATGACACCCTGGAAAAGATTTTACAACACAGTAGAAACTGTGTGTAAATTCCCAATATATTTATCAGAGTTATATAACCTAGTGAGAGTTCTTGATGCTGACAGCTGTACTGAGAGTTGAATAAAAGAGATGTGTCACTGGACTTGTAAATAGTCACATGCTAAAGAATAATCATTGTAGTATTTGTCACGATGTTGGGTTATTTTGCATTGCTTATAACTGTCTGAAAGATGCGAACTGGTATAGCACAGTAGAACTGATTCATAGCTTTTGAGCAGTTAACAGATATGGAGATCAAAAGATGTTATTCAACTAACATAACTTGAAGGTCTTCTAAGTTTCCCACCTTTAATTTGTGTTTTGGCTTTAGAGCACCAACAATCACAGAATCACAGAATCACTAGGT